ACATATCTGTGTTCGTATGGAATAGTAGCTTATGTCGAAAGGCTGGCTTTACTATAATGCGGCATTCGCAGCATACGATTGCGAATGACTCGCTGGCGCCGAGCCGTTGAACAACTTTTGGCAAATAAACGTGCAAGAAATATTTCCGATACTAGCAAGTCAATATTCTTAATTAATCTCATCAAAAAATTCCTTGTCGTTTAAAGAATAAAGAGTATGCCGCAGTATACTAAAGCAAGCTTTCCGACATAAGTTACTATTCCATACGAACACAGATATGTACGTGTAGTTAAAGTATATTCCAAGCGTACACTTTTCAGTATAATGGAGTATTTTATTTTATTATAATGATTGCGTTTATTTATTATATCTAATAAATGGAACTTAGTGGGGATAATATTGACTAATGAAAAAAGTGCGCGTCTGGTGAAGACTGAGAGTAAAGAAAAGCAGAAAAAACAGTATAAATTTTTTATTTATTTTAAATGATTTGATTCGCCATTATAAAGATATTAATAAGAAACCAAATATATAAAGACGTAAATAGAATAAGAATATGAATGTATGTATGTATTACTTAGAAGAAAACTCAATAAAACGAAGGTCTGCATTTCATATCCATGCACACATATGTATATATGTGTGTATCTATATCAATGATGGGCAAAACGCTACTCGTGAGCAGTGTTGCCAGAACCGGCTAAAAACGGCTAAAATGTTTCAACTAAATTTCACATGTTTTATTTAAATAAATCACGAGTAAAAAGACTATTTCTTGGAGAGAAGTTACAAATTCCAGCCGGAAAAAATTTTGCCAGCAAGAATTTGCAATTAGGAAAAACATATGATTGTGGCAAATTGTTGGATTTTTTGCCGACGATAATTTGAATAAACAAGTTCGTTAAATTTAAAAATTTACAATCTGGAGCGATTTTAAAATGAAAAATGTAAGTTAATACTTGTTTACTTACTTAATTTAGTTAATTCCAATGATTTGAAAGGTACTCGGCCAAAAAAAAACTGTATTCTCAATCGGAATGCAATCTCCACCAGAGTCGATATAGTAAACCCGCCAAAGGAATTGAAACGTATGTTGAAGAAGTCGGACTGACAAGATATATACACGTAGATTCTGTTTTTTTTACCCTCTGAAAGAATTTTAAAAATTCTATACAAATTTCTTTTGTTTGAAATGCAATCGTGGACACTAGCTGGCAGAAAAACTTGCAAATTTGCGTTCGTACAGAAAATTGCAAGTTTCTCTACATGAGAGAGAATTTGGGAGCTTTTTTCTTACCATCTGATATTTTGAGTGATAATTCTCGCTGGATTTTCGACGAACAAACCTATTGTCTTCTCTACAAGGCCTTTTCAGACTGACCGATTCTCAATACACTCAAATAGAAACCAATACACATAAAAAACGTTGTCAAAATTTCCCTTCAGTTTTAAGGCAGTAAAACAACGACCTTAAGTTAACATCAACCGAGGCCATATGTTGACAAGGGATGCAAAATCATAGTTACACAAAAGAACTGGTCATATTTTTCAGAAATCCCTTCAATTCTGATGTAAAATATGATGCCAAAAGACTGCAGATCTCCCATTTAGATGACCGGTCATATGACCGGCAGATGTCTCGTAGGATTCCCAGAGAGTTTTACTTTACATAGAAATTTGTGCCCTTTTATTTTCATTTTGAGTCACTTTAGTGTTGGTTACTTTAATTCAAGTTGGCATTTGGTTTTTGGAATTTAAATAAGTTCTCAGCAAAAAAGTTTGTTTAAAAAAATACATGTGTACATATTGCTTGAAAATATCAATTTTTCCCTTACCTTAAGCCTTTGGGAGTGGTGAAAAATGATGTTTTGTAATTTAGACCGAATTGAATATGCGCTATCTGGGAAGACAATATCTACATGTAATATTTTTTCTGTTGGCACTATATCCAAACACAAACGCATCTTAAGTGTCTTAACAGTGAAACAATTTATTATTTTCTAAGTTTGCGAATAAAACTTCACACTTAAAATTAAGACATTTATAACAAACATTTTATGAAGAAAATCCCTTCTTCGTTTAAAATAAAAATAAGCGAAATCGGCCCACTTTCATACAACCCTGCCTGACATGAAAATTTTCTCCACGATAAGGCTTGTATCCATTTCTAACAGATTTTGGGTCGCTTAGTCAAAAATAGAAAGATATATACATATTTGAAATTTAAGAAAACATGGCAAATAGCAAAATCGGCTAAAAACGGCTAATTTTTTTCTGCAAAACGGCTAGCAAATCGGCTGCCGGCTAAATCGAAATTTCTCCGGCTGTTTGCTATCGCAACCGGCTAAATCTAGCCGGAAAACGGCTAAAATGGCAACACTGCTCGCGAGTAGCGTCTGCGTCGCAGCGCTTATACGTATACAGAAACGACGCAGCGAATTTCAATTCAGTCTGCTTTCAGATTTCATGAGAGTGACACTATGCTTCGCCGTTGAATATTTTTATTCGTAATTTTAGCGCGTGGTTGCCACCTATATATGTAACAATGCCCAAAATGTCTGAGTATGAGTGCCAATTACAGTTTTTGGCTTTGGCTTTGCTTGTTATGTGGTAATACGACTACTTGGAATCGTACTTTTAATATAATGCGACATTATTTGTCATTCCATCCGGAATATGAAAAATATGAAGGTGATGACCGCGAGCAACTTTGTGAATTTTGTTGTTGAATAAACTATGATATTTTAAAACATTAGTTTAATGAAATTAAATTAAAAAACTTTTCATGCACTTATAAAAATTAATTTCATACTTCATTATCAGCCCGATTCTGAACAGAAACTCCCCAGGAATTTTTCCTCTTTTCTCTTTCCTCCTATCATGAATAAAACGAACTAAACGAACTTCGAAAAAGGGAAAATCTATTTCGGGAAAAATGTAGGTATCACGAATGTCAAAAAAGGAGAAAATTGGCTTGGGTATTTCGGGAGAAGTTCCGCCAAAGATTTAAAAGGGAGCTTGTATAAAAAATGTAAGTAATTCTCCTCTAAATTTAAAATTGCTTGATTTAAATGATTTGTTTGATATTTTTCAGGTCGAAAACAACGAATAAAAGACAGCAAACCATTTTAATAAACCTAATGGAAGCAAGCCCCGATATTGCGCGCGGGTTCCACAGAGGCAACAAAGAGGAGGTTGCCCGTTTCTGGCGGAACGGAGAAATGGAGTTAAACTCTGTAGACCCACCGATAAAAAACATTACTGAGTGGAAAAGGGTTTGACAAAGCGATAAAAACAAGGATTTGTGTCTTACATTGTATTAAACATTTTTAGGTTTGGACAGACCAAAAAAAGTATGTGCGTCACAAGGCTGCCGAAAATTTGAAACACTCGAGAGGCACTGGAGGTGGTCCGAATGTGCAAAAACCATTTTCCCCCATCGAAGAGGCAATATATAACCTCATTGGCATGAAAGAGTCCGTTGAGGGAGTGCCGGCGAAAACTTTTGGATTGGCGAGTTCTGATGTGGCTCAAGTAAATGAGGTGCCAGAGGGGGGTGAATTATGTTCCGAGGACTTGGAGGTAATTTGGGCTGAGAAATACCCAGCAACAGTAGAAGAAAGTCCGCCAGTGCTCACTGGTTTTGATTATGTATTACCAGCAGCTCCAAAAAGAGCTAGTAATCCGACTGTAAAGGCGGTGGCGAAAAATGCTACAAAAGTCGTTGAAGCAGAACTGGCAATTCAACGAGACATGTTGGAAAAGGTAACAAATATAGTTACTCTCATGACAGAGCGCAATGAGGCAGATAAAAAGCATTTCGAGGCGATGAAAGCTCTAAAGAGAGAGGAAATCGATGAAATGCATCGACATAATGATCTCTTAGAAGAGTTATTAAGGCTAAATATTTAAGTCAAATGTTTAAAGAATGTATTTAGAAATATACTTAAATATTTTTTTTTTTTTTGTAATAAGTCAAAAGATTTTGAACACAGAGTATGTATACTCATGTAGATTTTTATACCAATTCTGCCAGATTTCAAAATTTCCTCACATATCCAAGTTTTGGTGACGCAACTTCCATTAAAATACGGATTTTTCTGAATCAATTTGAGCGAGTTGTGTCACCAGCACTTGAGTATGTGGGGAAATTTTCAACCCTGGCAGAATTGGTGTAAAAATCTACAGTGTTCAAAATCTATTATGACTTATTACAAGAAAAATAATATTTAAGTACATTTCTAAATACATGTTTTGTTATCAATATCGGTATATATCGTCGCTGCGCCAAAAAAAAAAACCAGTTATGTGCTTTTTTGGAGAGCAAAAACAGGGCTCGAATCGTAAC